ATATCCGGATACACACCTTGAATGTCATCATGTTAAACAGTGAAACTTTTCCTCCACAGGCAGACATTAAATATGAATTATTTTTTGAGAGTGCAATGCAAGGGACTGCTTCTTCAAGGTTGACACCCGCAATATCATTAGTCATAAGAAGACCATTGTTGGGTTGCCAACGTTGTGGAACAACACTGGCAGTTGCCTGTAATCACGAGAACTTCAGACTTATGCTCTCTATTGAAAGGTAAAAGGCTAATAAATAGTATAAAGAAAGAAAAAAAAAGGATTGAACCAAGAAATACATAAAGTAACTTATTTTCTTAAGACAACCTTCCCAGTAGGATTCTGTTCATTGCGAGCCCATTTCCAAAGCTTCTGAACGCCATTAGAACCAAGGGCCAAAACACCAACAACAAAATTTGTATGTAAAAGTCGTACAACCTATATACCAATCAGTACATTAAATTAAAGCATAGAAGGATACAAAATTTGCAATAGACTGATGGTGATCTCATAAATTCAGCAATATACAGACCTTGCTGAAAGAGTCTGTGTTGTCAGGCAAGGTAACTGATCGGTATTGAACAGGATCCAGAATTTCAGACAATTTCCATGGTTTAGTTCTATCAGATGCATCTTCCACAGTTCTTGATTTCTCTACACTTCGACTCATGGGATCAACTCCATTCTTGATTGAAAAAGACAAAAGCATGGGCTCGTGACTCTGAAACTCGGTTTTATAACGGAACTCAGGGTTCCAACTATTAGAATAGTCGGTACTCTTCAAATCCTTTCTTGATCCATGCTGCTAAATTACATTGTAAATACACAGATATTAGCAATACCAAGTTGGTTACAAGGAATCATTCAAAACTAGGTTAATATGTTTTGCTTAGAAATGAAAAAATTAGACTTACATCTTTTGAATCTGTCCAAAGAGAACTACTCGACCACCGCGGTCACCGGTAGCAAGATGATCACCAGACTTGTCAAATTCAATAGCAGAAATTATGTCCACCGTAGAAACAAAGTTGAATCGATAATTAGGAAACTAATCCAGATAGGTCAATCACTCTGGACTGGAAGAATTTATCATTTTGTTAATGGTGTTTATAGGCAGAACATAAATACCCAACAACAAAAAAACCTACTGAATTCATATACTCTCTACTTCCTTAAACAAAAGTGCTCATGTATAAGTTGTTTTATAAAGAAAGATAAAGTCAAACAGTTTTTCGTATATGCTGAAAAAAACTTATGTAAATGGCAGAGGTTGTTTCTACAAGTTTTAACAAACAGTCTCAGTAGTGTTTTTGTCAGAAAGTAGATAAATTCAAATAAGCTAAAAAAAGGAAGACTATCAGTAGCCAATAAACTTGTTGCTTAATTGAATATCGGGTCGTATATCTGGATACACACCTTGAATGTCATCATGTTAAACAGTGAAACTTTTCCTCCACAGACAAACATTACATATGAGTCATTTTTTGAGAGTGCAATGCAAGGGAATGCTTCTTCAAGGTTGACACCCGCAATATCATTAGTCATAAGAAGACCACTATTGGGTTGCCAACGTTATGGAACAACACTGGCAGTTGCTTGTAATCACGAGAACTTCAGACTTATGCTCTCTATTGAAAGGTAAAAGGCTAACAAATAGTATAAAGAAAGAAAAAAAAGGATTGAACCAAGAAATACATAAAGTAATTTATTTGCTTAAGACAACCTTCCCAGTAGGATTCTGTTCATTGCGAGCCCATTTCCAAAGCTTCTGAACGCCATTAGAACCAAGGGCCAAAACACCAACAACATAATTTGTATATAAAAGTCGTGCAACCTATATACCAATCAATACATTAAATTAAAGCATAGAAGAATACAAAATTTGCAATAGACTGATGGTGATCTCATAAATTCAGCAGTATACAGACCTTGCTGAAAGAGTCTGTGTTGTCAGGTAAGGTAACTGATCAGCATTGAACAGGATCCAGAATTTTAGACAATTGCCATGGTTTAGTTCTATCAGATGCATCTTCCACAGTTCTTGATTTCTCTACACTTCGACTCATGGGATCAACTCCATTCTTGATTGAAAAAGCCAAAATCATTCCATATAATTCAGATAAGTATTATGTTACAGTAAATAATTCATAAGTAACTTAAAAGGGATAAATGACAGCTAACAAAGTTGATCCCATAGGAAAAATATCAGATTATAAAGTAAAATAGATTCATGCACACCTTTTGGATCTAATAGTAAACTTATAATATAAGGCTCCCCATAAAGTAGAAAGCAGAAGTATTAAATTGTCCGTCCTTTATAGTATGCAAGGGTATGCTAAACAAACTATATAAGAAAGAATAAACATACCAATATAGTCTACATGCAGTATGTAAGTGTGTATACTGTGTGCAAAAATGAATATACCAGTGCCATCATGCTAGCATCAAAATATAGGTGTAATTTACAAGGTCAGGTTCATACAAGAATTGGAGGCGGTCTAATAGGAGAGCTTCTTTCCACTTTACAGTTGACCGGATTAACATTAACCGTAGAAGAGCCAGATACCTGTAAAGCATAAACAAAGTGGACTATGCATATTTTGATCTTAACTTAAGGAACCACTCAAATGTTTAAAGAACTATATTGTCTATATTACTACCTTGATTGCATCAGATTCAATGGATGACCTCAATGCTTCAAATGTTGGAGTCTCAATTGTTCTTAAGGATCTAAGACCAGTAGCATTTGCTAGATTCAATGGGTGACTGCGAGAATATTTCCTTCCTTATTGAATTTCAAATGTGGAACGCCCTGAACAGATTCATACAGTCAGATAAGCGATGTTTTGTAAATTATGGTTATACTCCAGAAGACTTCAAACACTTAAACATTAAATCCTGACCTGTAATCCACCATCTGCATCAGTGCTTGTTAGAGGACTAATATTGTCCATGTCCCAAAACTTCACTTGGCCATCTTCACCAGCAACCAAAAAGCGGTTTTGGGTTGTGTCAAACTGCACAACACCGGTACATTTCTTTCTGAATCTGTTGTATGTTCTCTTAATGGCTCCTTCACTTTCATTCCATTCAATATCTTTATTGTCATCCTGCAATGACAACAAAGAGCAGCCAAAATATCTTGATTTAATACAATGACAACAAAGAGCAGTCAAATATCTTGATTTAATACAAAAAATTTAAACACAAATATTGGAGAGAAATTACCAACAGACTGTATATACCTTTATGGCTTCCGACATACCCTCTTCAGCCTCAGCTCTCTTTGAGAGACTACAACAAAATTTTAGAAGAAAATACATCATTTTGTAAACCAAGTTATCGAACTACAGACAATTTTCAATGATTAAGCATATGTAATCATATGATCAAAATAGTATGGATGAATTAAGAGAATATTTTGAGTGTGTTAGGTGATACCAAAGTTCTGCTATCCAAATTAGTCTACTGTACTGTTAAACAAAAGTGTCAGTGTGCATGCTCAAAAAAACAAACATTTTAATCATACCTTAAAAGCCATGAGCCATTTGTTATCCACCCAGTCTTGATGTAGCCTCAACTGGGAATGTTCAAACAAATTTTATATTAAATATTTCTTTGTTGTTTCACCAAATTTCTTCAATGATCTCAGTTTGATCTCGTCGATAATAAACACATTTTAGAACGTAAGAGGTAAACCATGTAATGTTGCCTTGTGCCTTTGCCATAGTCACCCTCATCTTATGGATGACATGTACAATAACAACACAACAGAAAAGAAAAGTTAGATTTTCAAAACTCAGGAAATTCTTGGCCCAACTGTCGTATGATTGGAGATAATGGGATCAAGTCACAAAATCAGCGTCTTGTAGAAGCCACTTTAACATGAGCCTGGTTGCATCAAAAATATTAGTTCATCAAACAATTTATCATCCTCATCATGCAACATTTATTCAAACAAAAGATGTGCATTTCATCAAACAGATAGTAGGGATTCTAAATTAAACAAACACACACAGTTTAACACACAAAAAGTTGTAGTATATGAAAGTTATAGACGTGCATAAATTGTGAAAACGACGACAACAACCTTTAATAGACCTTTCCAGTATTTTTCAGCTTCAAATATACTTGTTGTAAGTAAGAGCAAAAACTTAGATTCACATAATCAAACTATAGATCTAAAACCATGAAACACAAACAAAACAAAACTCAAAACGATGTCGTTACGGTGTAACTAACACATGTAGCTTCTCAACAACTTGTTGATATCGCTGATCTTCTCAAAAGGTTGAGTCATGAAGGATGGAGGAAGAAAAGTTGAGACTGAGGAACAATAGACAAAAAAGGGTTGGAATGTAGGTTGGTGAGAAACGGAGCAGGAAATGGTTGAAGATGACGAGGGACGCCGTAAGAACTCCTTTTGCGTCTGAACTCTTGAAAAAGATGGTGAAAGTCGCGGCTGCGCTAAGGTTTGCAGAAAAAATAGAGAGAAGAGAGAAAATGGTGAAATGAAGCATAAGGGAGACGAGGGAGAAGGGGGGACGTCATTTTAGGGTTTTTTTTAGGGGAAAAAGAGATGAGAGGGAAAATTAAAAAGAGAGAGAAAGTGAGGGAAAGAGGAAGACAAGAGTTTTCAAAAAACTTTTGCCACTTGGCAAAATTGAACCATGCTATTGGTCAAAGTTTTTGTATTTAATAAATTACCAAAAAGTAAATGGTCTATGTTAAGTAAAAATCAAGTAAAGGATAAATTACCAAAAAGGACATGGTCTAGTTGACTCTTTTAAATCGGTTTGACCGGATTTTATCAGTCCATCGTAGGCACAGGGTAAAGTTTTCGTGCGGTGAACGGCACCCTTAGTACAAATCTTAAATCAAAGGCCAAACACCAGCTTCTCTTACCGGCGACACAGGTAGACACCAACCAGTCCACACCCCGATCACCATCTTCATCGAAACCCTAATCCGCCAAAACCCTCCGTTCCGTAGAATCGGGCACGATGGTTCTAGCGCAGCTAGGAGGGAGCATTTCCCGTGCTCTCCAGCAGATGAGCAATGCAACGGTCATCGACGAGAAAGTCCTCAACGAATGTCTCAACGAAATCACTCGAGCTCTCCTTCAATCCGATGTTCAATTCAACCTCGTTCGAGACATGCAGACCAACATCAAGAAGATCGTCAATCTCCAAGACCTCGCCGCCGGTCACAACAAACGCAAAATCATCCAACAAGTAACCTATTGTATATATTTTCCGGCAAATAGAAAATTGTTGTTCTTATGTGTATTATTGTTCATGCGTGGTGAATTTTCGTTGCAGGCTGTGTTTAACGAACTCTGCAAAATGTTGGATCCTGGAAAGTCCTCTTTCGTTCCCAAAAAAGGGAAACCTAGTGTCGTCATGTTTGTTGGTTTACAAGGTTTGTTACTATTATCGGTTGATGAAATTCATATTCTGATTCTTTATGTTTGTGTTTGTGAGTTTGATTAGGTTATACACACATGTGCACATGCTAATTTGGTTCTCTTCGTTTAGACATTATCCTGAGCACTGATCAGTATATAGGGACTCTTGGCTTTTACAATTTGTTGATCCTATTTTTAGATGATGTGGGGTGAGAGTTTAGAGGCATTTGATAGATATTTGAGTTATGTCGTGTTTTTTTTTTTTTAATGAATTCAGGTTCTGGAAAAACTACAACATGTACAAAATATGCGTATCATTATCAGAAGAAAGGATGGAAGCCAGCTTTAGTGTGTGCAGATACATTTAGAGCGGGTGCGTTTGATCAATTGAAGCAAAATGCCACTAAAGCTAAGATCCCTTTTTATGGAAGGTACATGTTTGTATTTATTTGTTGTAGATCCCAATATACTACTGTTTCCTTATCAATAAGAAATGCATTGGTGGAAGACGATTGGGCGGTAGTGTAATGAAGAGTATAGACTAATTTTTTCTGGTTAGTTGTGACGCATAAAAGTCACCTGATAACAAAGTTATGGCTGTTGTGTTCATGTTCAAGGAGCACAGCATGACCTTTGTTATTGTTTCTTCACATGCATTTCATTTTAGCTGTTACAGACTTTATGTGAATTCTGAAATATGGGATGAACAATCTTGCTAGAAATCTAGCTGTTTCTAATAAAAGATGCAATCTGAGCATTTTCTTCTAGAAGAATGATTTTTAGTTGTAAGGGGGAGAACGCATTTGCTTTCATGAAGGTCGTATAGTGTACAATGTTTTCATGCCTAAGAATTTAGTATTACTATAGGAATAGTTTTGTTTTATGTTGGGTAATTGCATCCCAAGATTTAAAGCTTACCTATCTTCTCTAAGTGTTAATTAAGACTAGGTTAGTTGGATAAGTGGTGATTGGGGAACAAATTGCCTTTAACAATTACAAACCTGAGCAATATGACTGGTATGGATCTATCTTCACTCATGTTTCTCCTCCTTTTCATTTGTATGTTTAAAGGGTGAGAATGTTACGCTCCCATGAAATGATATTGGAAATTATTTTAAAACTTGGCCAGCTATAATTTCATACTCTCACCTCATTTTACCATATTTTTCTATTTTTTGCTTACTAAATAATTTTAAAATATTCCTAGAAATATTATGTAGTTAACAAACATGTTAAATTATACTCACGACGGTATTCCTATGAACACGCCATTTATGGGAATATGATCTTATACTATGAAACAAATGCACACTATGGGAAAAGACGAGGGTGAACTTTCAAGGTTAAGGAAAAAGGAAATTGTTGGTTTGTACGAAAATGTGAGTCATTTGGAAGATATCATATTGCTAACATAAAGCAAATATGACTTGTTTTTCCTAATTCTCAAATCCCAAACGTTATCTGTTTAGTGTGTGTTTGGATTGGTGGTGGACAAATTTGATTTTGACATAATGGAATTTGCTAGAATTGCTTTTAACAGAATTGAGTTTAATAGAATTGAGTTATGTTTGGATACATTTATGTAAAAGTGAGTTGAACAACAAATTTCAGTGTAAAAATCACGTTTAACAAATTCTAGCTTCAAATAGAATCAATTCTACTTTAGCATAACCAAACACCTCAAAATCACTCTAGAATCAATTCTACACCTCTAGAATTGCTTTTGCCCCTTTCAAAAGCCAATCCAAACATGCTATTAGTCTTTTACATGCTTTCGCATTTTCATTTTTCTTTATCTTTTAGTAGGTTGCATCCTTGCCCAGCCATTTTTTTTCCTTGATGATCCTTACAAATTAGTTATGATTATGGTGCTTAATACCATTTTCTTATGGAAACTTCTCTATCAGTTACATTTCATTATCTGATTTCAATTATCAAGTAATTATTGCATTGCTGAAACCCAAAACCCATTCCTGTACAGCTATATGGAGTCAGACCCTGTCAAAATTGCTGTGGAAGGTGTGGAGAGATTCAAGGAAGAAAACTGTGATCTTATAATTGTTGATACCAGTGGGCGGCACAAACAAGAAGCAGCTCTTTTTGAAGAAATGCGCCAAGTTTCGGAAGCAACGGTATATCTAGTTTTTGCTATATGCATTTCATATCTATTTCTAAAAGCCAACATATTGTAATTTATTTTCTGTGTTGCTCAGAAACCAGATCTTGTTATATTTGTTATGGATAGCAGTATTGGTCAGGCTGCTTTTGATCAGGCCCAAGCATTTAAACAGAGTGTTGCTGTTGGAGCTGTAGTTATCACCAAAATGGATGGCCATGCCAAGGGTGGTGGTTCTCTTAGCGCGTAAGTGTTACGACCATAGTAATTACTACATTGACTCTAAATTTTGCAACTATAAACAAATGAATTTAGCAGTAGCTGATAATACACTAGTATCAAGGTCATAGATACAAGTGTATTTTAGATTTGTTCACCTAAAATTGGAACTATGCCCATTGCCATGGTTTCAGTGCTATATGACATGAAACAAAAATCTGTTTTATTTGAAAGAATTTGGAAAATAGTATAGCATGTCTTTAAAATGACCGTATTTGTACTTTGTAGTATCTAAAGTAGATCTTAAGGCCATATTTGAATATCATAAAATGAACGGAGCGAAATGGATAGGAGTAGAGTGGAATGAAACAGAATAGAGCGGAGCGAAATGACGATTCCATTCCATTGTTTGGAAATTTTAGGACGGAACAAGTCAAGTTCTACATTCTGCCCAAATCGTAGAAGAAGAAATATAGTGGTAAGTGATGGAATGGAATGAAATCCATACCACTCCATTCCGCTCCGCTCCATCTGTTTTTAAATGATCCAAACAGTGGACCACCGCTCCATTTCTTTCCATACCGCTCCGCTCAATGTGATTCCATCAATCCAAACAAAGTCTTAGGCATGGACGAGATAATATATTGGTAGTTGATTTTCTTATCAACAATTGAGACGCCATTTTAAATTGAGAACTCATTTTTGACGAGGCAAACCTGTATTTGTAACTTTGTATGTTATGTTTTTGTTTATATAGTGTGCTTTGGTCTTTGGGTACATTGGTCTTATTAATATTATATGTGCAGTGTTGCAGCAACAAAGAGTCCTGTCATATTCATGTTAACTTAGAGTGCAGAGGCACCGAAAAACTGCTGTTTTATTTTATTGATGCGTTAACATAACAAGAATTATAAACTGCTTAATAAGGCTGTAAGCCACTAACAATATATTCCTAAAATTCAGCACCCACTAATTACTCAATCAAATATCCCTAAAGACTAGGACAAACTCAAACAAATCAGTTACCAACATAAATAATATAATAAATTAATATTTCTAATATTCTCCCTTAAACTGAAAGTTTTCAAACATTCAGTTTATCACACACTCCCAACAATGCTCTGAGCTTCTGAAATGCAGCCAGCTTCAATGGCTTGGTCATTATATCGGCAATTTGGTCTTCACTTCTGCAGTAGTGAAGTTCAATCACTCCATCCTTTGTGAGATTCCGGATAAAATGAAATTTCACGTCTATGTGTTTGCTTCTTCCATGTAAAACAGGATTATTGGACAGTTTGATAGCTGAACTGTTGTCGCAATAAATTGCAGTAGCATTAACTTCCCTTTCCTGCACAAAATTCAGCCCTTCAAGTATCCTCCTAAGCCAAATTGCTTGACAAGCACATGCTGTTGCAGCAACATATTCTGCTTCGGTAGTTGATAGGGTGACTATCTCTTGTTTCTTTGATGACCATGAGATGGCTCCAGAACCCAGCATAAAGACATAGCCAGAAGTACTCTTTCTATCATCAATATCTCCAGCATAATCACTATCTGTATAGCCAATCAGATCCGAATTTTCTCCCTTCTTGTAGAAAATTCCAAAACTAGTAGTACCTCGCAAGTACCTGAGAATTCTCTTTGCAGCCAAGAGATGACTCTCCTTAGGATTTTCCATATACCTGCTGATCAAACTTACAGCATGCATGATATCAGGCCTGGTTCCTGTTAAATACATCAGACTCCCCACGATTTGCTTGTAAAGTTGGCTGTCAACCTTCTTTTCATCCGAATTTCGAACAAGTTTCAAGCCTACTTCAGTAGGTGTAGCAGCACAATTGCAATTTGACATCTGAAATCTGTTCAGAATCTCTTGCACATACTTCTTTTGTGAGATAAAAATGCCAGCTTTTGATTGCACTACTTCTATGCCGAGAAAATAATGCATCTTCCCTAAATCAGACATATCAAATTCCAACATCATAGATTTCTTGAACCTTTCAAACATGCTGAAATCGTTCCCTGTATATATCAAATCATCCACATACAAGCACACGATCAACAATTTTCTTCCTTCCCCACTTTTCACAAAAAGTGTGTGTTCAAAAGGACATTTCTCAAACCCTTCCTTCAGGAAGTAAGCTTCAATTCTACTGTACCAAGCGCGTGGTGCTTGTTTTAATCCATACAAAGCCTTCTTTAGTCTGTAGACTTTGTGCTCACATCCAAACTTCATGTATCCAGGAGGTTGATCAATGAACACCTGCTCCTTCAAATCACCATGTAAAAATGCTGATTTTACATCCAATTGGAAGATGGGCCATGAATTTTGTGCAGCTACAGCAACCACCATTCTAATTGTATCATGTCTTGCAACTGGAGCAAATACTTCAGTATAGTCCACCCCAAACTCTTGCTTGTAACCTTTAGCGACAAGTCGTGCCTTGTACTTGTCAACTTCTCCATCTTCCTTGAATTTTGTCTTATACACCCATTTCACACCAATTGTCTTTTGCCTTTGTGGAAGATCAACCAACTCCCAAGTGTTGTTCTTCTCAATAGAAGCAATTTCTTCATCCATTGCTTTTTTCCACTTTGGTTCCTTAATAGCTTCTTCAAAAACCATGGGATCACAATCCGTAAGAAATGCAAAGTGTGTTAGTTGACATTCTGATTGATTTACTCCAGTCACCTCATAATCAATCATCCAACCAGGTCTTCTTTTATCACGCCGAGGACGAGGTTCTGAAGTTGATGCTGTTGGTGAGCGACTTCTTTTATCACACCGAGGACGAGGTTCTGAAGTTGATGTTGTTGGTGAGCCAAGAGTCTGCACAGAATTATCAGCTGCTGTTTCTGCGGGCTGCTGTTGTGTGGACCGGTGCTGCACACTTGAAGTTTCAGCCTGCTCATCTTCAATTTCATCAAAATCCACCAGTTTCTCTTGATGCACAACAGCACTCTTATTCGCTGCCCAAAAATTTTGTTCATCAAATATCACATCACGGCTAATTATAATCTTCTTGGTGTTAGGATTATAAAGCTTATATGCTTTTGACTGATTACTAATACCAAGAAAAATACACTTCACCCCCTTGTCTTCAAGTTTTGTTCTTCTTTGATCCGGGACATGAGCGTAGGCAACACACCCAAAAATTCTGAGGTGATTGACAGCTGGTTTGTTTCCACTCCATGCCTCCTCAGGAGTCATGTTTTGAACAGAAAAGGTCGGACTTCTATTCAAAATGTGGACGCTCCAATTCACTGCTTCGGGCCAAAAAGTTTTAGAGATTCCACTTCTATTTAGCAAACTTCGAACCATGTTCATAATAGTGCGATTTTTCCGCTCACAAACACCATTTTGCTGAGGTGAATATGCTGCTGTAAGCTGCCTTTGAATTCCATGATTCTCACAAAACTTTGCGAATTCATGCGACGTATACTCTCCACCACGATCTGTTCGCAGAACCGTAATCACACATCCACTTTCCTTTTCAACAGACACTTTAAATGTCTTGAAAACATCAAATGCTTCAGATTTTTCTTTCAAAAAATACACCCATATCTTCCTACTGTAATCGTCAATGAAAGTAATGAAGTACCGTTTACCTCCATTCGAGATTGGATTTAGAGGGCCACAAATGTCCGAATGAACCACCTCTAGCACTTTCTTGGCTCTGATGGATTTTCCAGATGGAAAAGAGTCTCGATGCTGCTTGCTGACAGCACAATCTTCACAAATCTGAGTTGGAGGTGCGATTTCCGGAAGACCTGTCACCATATTTTTCTGCTGCAGTGTTTTCAATCCTCCAAAATTGAGATGACCGTAGCGAAAATGCCATAACCATGTTGAGTCTTGAATCTTTGCTGAGAAACAAGAACCGGTGGATCTATGCAGATTTAACGGAAACAACCGATTATCTGTCATTTTAACTTGAGCAATCAACCCTAATTTTTCGTCTTGAACCCGACAAACACCATTCTTGATCAGAATCTCGTACCCCTTTTCTTGAAGTTGTCCTAGACTAATCAAGTTGGTCTTCAATTCTGGGACAAAGAAGACATCGGAGATCTTGTGACTTTTATTTCCCTTGGCCTTGAAAATAATATTGCCCCTTCCAGCAACATTAATTTTGGAGTTGTCGCCGAATTTGACGGTACTCAGAAAAGACTCATCCAAATCTGAAAATATTGTCTTATCACCGCACATGTGATTGCTGCAGCCCGTATCCAAATACCACAGATTATCTGGAGTTTCCTCGGTTACATTGCACACCATCAAGAGAGATTCCTCTTCTTCTCTTTCTGCAAAGTTGGTCCTTTCTCCATTTTGGCAATTCAAGTAAGTTCTACATTCATTCTGATAATGACCATATTTATGACAGCGATAGCACTCAACATTAGATTTTGGGCGAAAATTGTTTGAATGATTACCTCCACGATAGCCCATTCGACCTCTTCCTCTTCCTGAGTTGTCTAAATTCTGGTGGTTGGCGGGATTGTTGCTATGGTTGCTGCTACGACCATTATCGCCTCTACCGTAACCGCCTCGACCTCTTCCTCTGCCCCTGCCCCTGTCTCGGCCTCCTCTAAAATTAGAGGTATTTGAATAAGTCGAGGCTTTAAGTGCTTGCTCCTCTTTGTCTTGTTTGCTGATTTTATTCTCATGAACCAACAAGGAACTTTGCAATTCATCAATCGTGAGTGAATCAATATCTTTGGATTCTTCAATGGAGCAAACAACAAAATTGAACTTAGTTGTCATTGATCTAAGAATCTTCTCAATAATGGTCACATCATCCATCTTGTCTCCATGAATTCTCATTTTGTTGGCGATGATCATCGTTCTTCCAAAGAAATCTGTGACAGACTCATCCGACTTCATGCGTAAAGTCTCAAATTCACTCCGTAGGGCTTGAAGCTGCACTCGTCTTGCCCTAGCGTTCCCTTGAAATTTCTTCTTCATTGAGTCCCAAATCTGTTTGGAGGTTTCTTTGCTGAGAATCGTCTCCAAAGTTGCTCGATCTATGGCCTGAAACAAGTAGTTCTTGGCTTTAAGATCCTTGAGTTTCAGTGCCTCAAATTCTGCCTTCTGCGCATCTGTTTGAACTGCTCCCTTCACAGGCTCTGTAAATCCGGAGTCAACGACTTGCCAATATTCTTTGGATCTCAAGAAATTCTCCATTAACATGCTCCAATGGTCGTAATGACCATCAAAACGAGGAATTGCAGCCTGCACAAAATTCTCATTGGAAGATGCCATCGATGATGTTTTCGCTCAAATCTCACTGTGTTTCACTCAGATTTTTTTTTCTTCTTCTAAATGAACCAGGCTCTGATACCACTGTTAACTTAGAGTGCAGAGGCACCGAAAAACTGCTGTTTTATTTTATTGATGCGTTAACATAACAAGAATTATAAACTGCTTAATAAGGCTGTAAGCCACTAACAATATATTCCTAAAATTCAGCACCCACTAATTACTCAATCAAATATCCCTAAAGACTAGGACAAACTCAAACAAATCAGTTACCAACATAAATAATATAATAAATTAATATTTCTAATAATTCATAGGAACTGGTGAACATATGTACGAGTTTGAAGTTTTTGAAGTTAAACCATTTGTTAGTCGTCTATTAGGTATGTGCTTTTCATTTTCTCTTCATCCTCAATCAATCCATTATTATATATCAAGGACATGCGATGGTTACCAAGTTCCTATAAATCTTTAATCATTAATCATTGTCAAATGGCTTATCAACTAGGCATGGGTGACTGGTCTGGGTTTATGGATAAAATTCATGAAGTTGTTCCAATGGATCAACAGCCTGAATTACTTCAAAAGCTGACAGAAGGGAACTTCACCTTGAGGCTTATGTATGAGATATTTCAGAACGTACTTCAGATGGGTCCTATTAGCCAGGTATTATTACCTTATTATTTTCACTTACTTTTCATTTCTTTAAACTTACTGTAGATGTGCCATGAGATACTAAAACTAGTAAGCACTGGTTTAATTTGTTCTATATGCTAATTAACTAATAAGGGGTGCTATTTTAGTTGACTGATTTTTGGTTGATATATGTAGGTATTTTCTATGCTTCCTGAGTTAATGCCAAAAGGCCGTGAGAAAGAAAGCCAGACAAAAGTTAAACGTTACATGACAATAATGGATTCAATGACAAATGAAGGTGTGTGAACGAATTGATTATCGAAAATACCAACTTTATGTATATACTACCTATACTTATGCTCTCATTGAAACCTATACTTGTGCTCTCATTGAAATAATGTATATATCTTCACATTCCGAACTTCAATTGTTATTGTTTCAGAGTTGGATAGTTCAAACCCGAAGCTTATGAATGAATCACGTATGATGCGAATAGCTCGAGGTGCAGGCCGTCAATTTAGGGAAGTGTTGGACATGATGGAAGAGTACAAACGCCTTGCAAAGGTTAGCAAAATGAAAGGGCTTAAAATGCCAAAGAATGGTAACATGAGTGCCCTGTCTCGAAATATGAATGCACAAAACATGGCCAAAGCCCTCCCTCCACAGTTGCTCAAACAATTTGGTGGCATGGGTGGGTTACAAAACTTTATGAAGCAGATGGGATCTTCGAAAGACATGATGGGAATGTTTGGTGGTGGCGGTGAATAGTTGACTAGGTAGGACTTAACAGCGGGGTTTTATTCCTGATGGCAGCTTCGGGCATATAAGTATGTTTCGCAGGTGATGCAGTTTGACAAGGTGTCAGATTTGTTGTCTGCAAAAGCCTGAATTGGATGCTAGTTCTTGTTTTTTTTTGTAAAGTTGATGTTTTTCCCCCCTTGTGTATAGTTTAACTTGTTTAATCTTAGCTAGCATAATCCTAGTAATCATGTTATAAATGAGGATGAGAATTACATAATTGAGTGACACTGAAAACAAAAGCTCCATTACTTTTCCATATTGATTGAAGCAATGAAATTGTTATTAACTTAGGATGTAACCTGTTTGCATTGAAGTTTGCCTAGGTGGATCTTGAACTATAGGTGATGATATTTTATGACAGTTAGCAAATGTAGTCATCTGATCTTGTGCTCTATTCAAATGGAACTTTGACTTTTTCAATGCCTTGTGACTAGTCATCGAATCTTGAGCCACTACTTCAACTAAGACCAACTCCAATGGGAGTTCTTAGAGTGGGTTTGCCAACATGGCACTCATATTTGTTGTTTTCAAGATGGAAAAGTTCTTAAATATGCAACGGTTCTTCAATGGTTCTTATATTAAAATATTAATTTTATAATATAAAAACTATAATTTGATATAAAATTTTATTTATTATTTTAATTATCATTTTAATTAAAATTTAAATATTTAAATTATAATTTTAAATAAAATAAATTTAATATAAATAATATTTTTTAAGTAAAGTGGTGGGATCCAATATGGATTCTTTAGAGTTGCACCATTGGAGTGAAAATTGAATGAGTTGCTTTAAAAGAGTGGGTCCCACAAAGAACCTAAAAATGGGTTGCACCATTGGAGATGCTCTGATGTCTCTCTTTGTACCGAGCTTGATATAGGTGGTGCGCTACCATAGACAATCTTAAAAGGGGAACACTTTGCTGACCCTTGAAAGCTAGTGTTTTACCAATATTTTGCTCACAGAGTACAATCCATCTAGTTGGTTGCGTTGAGCAAAAACACCTTAGGTAGGTGTCCAACATTCTATAAGAACTTGGAGTTCACCATCATCTTGACAATGATATGGAGAACACCCATTAAGGATTGTCCCTTACAACCTAAATAGTTCATTCCAATAATAGTTAAGAAATGAGGGATTCCTCTCACTAACAAATGAGGAAGGTGTTCCAAGAAGCATAACCATCTCCTTTACAAAATCTATACCAATGACCTTGGTGAGAAAGGATGTTTGATGGAAATGTAATGTCCAACAATTCCTCTGTGGTAGAAATAGAAAATTTATTTGGTATAGGTCTTGTTTAAGGCTCTATAATCAACATAAACCCTCCAACTCTCATCTTTCTTTTTAACCAAAACTTATCTCAATAATGAGGTCAATAAGAATGTAGTGGGTCAAACTTTAACTCAATCTAAAGTTGTGGAAGTCGCTAAAGAACCATAAGCTTGTGTGAGCTGGTGTAGGAAAGAGAATTAGTGTAACCAATTATGTTAGAATGTGGTGAGTGAAGTAACGAGGTCAATAAGAATGTAGTGAGTCAAATTTTAACTCACAGTCTAAAGTTGTGGAAATCGTTAAAGAACCATAAGTTTGTGTCAGCTGGCGTAGCAAAGAGAATTAGTGTAACCAATTATGGTAGAATGTGGCCGAGTGAATAAGTAAAGATGAACTAAATCAAAATGTTGATGAACCGTGGAGGAAGGTGGTGCAAAAAATAAAATAAAAAATGTAGAAATTGAGGGAGAAAGATGGCGTGATGGTCTTCTCCCTCAATTTCAACGTAATATCATTGATCTTTTTAAAGAGAGATGTGATTAATATCATTGATCTGAGTAATGATTTCATTAACTAATCATGAAATCATTATCATATTCATCAAAATAATCACATATACTTATGAACATTGAAAATCATAATTATGTACATAAACCCACACGAAATTAAGCAATTAACAAAGCACTAAAACAACATCACATCACAACATCCTAGAAATATTTTTGCACAAATCATCTCAAGATTCAAAATTCTCATCAATGGGGAAAAAGAAAAGAAAAAAGGAAATGGATTAAGGATTCCCCTCTATCCTTCATGCTTAAACACCCATATTATGGACAATTCTCTCATTACCTCGAATTTGCGAAAAAAGATTGAAACTTTGACTATGAAGACTCTTCTCCTACTCTTGCTCTGTTAGAGTTTTTCTCTCAACTCTGCTGACACTTTGTTTCACCAAAAAGTTTTATTTTCTATTCTCTCTTTGTTTAAATAAAGTTCTATTTTTATTTTACTATTTCTCTCAATACCATGTCAGAAAAATTGACTTGATTTCTTTCTCTAGTGTACTTAACACTTTATATAGTAACGTCGATAGTTACAGTCGGTAGTTACAAGTAGACCTGTCAAAATGGACTACTCGGCTTTAAACGGGCCGGCCCTGGTGGGCTCGAGTTTTTTAAAGCAGGGCAAAAAAAGCTCATTATTTTTAATATGGGCTCAAAAATTACTACTTGAGTCCGGCCTTAGATGTGTTTCGGGTTACCCGACCCTAAACGGATTTTTTTAAATAAAATATTAAAATAAAAATGTCATAATATTTATTATAAATAAAATTTAAAATTATATTATTTTAAACATGAAAAATTATGATGTGTTTTTAAATACAATACATGACTAAATTATATAAAATAATACTTGAATGTTTAACATAAGAGAAACTAATAGAATACGAGAAAAAAAATGTTGATTATATTAATGTTTAATATTTAAAAGAGAAAGATTGAATATAATAGAGATAAAATTTAGTGATGTGAGAAAAACTAATGTGTTATTTTGGAGTAAAACTATGTAAGTATTCATATAATTTTTTAAAATTTATAATGATATGAGTCTAATGGACTACCCACGACTTATATGGACTAGTCTTTATGGATAATCTGTGTTTTAGGATTTTTAGGACAATGCTAAAAATATGAATTCTAATTTTAAGACTTAAACTCTATGATTTTTTGGACCTAACAAACCGGTTCATATGAATTAATCTATTTTGACAACTCTAATTACAAGTAATTACAATTCTTAATAACCAATTACAATTTATTAAGACTATCTTTCTAATCTAAAAAAATAAATTATTTACAATAAAGTAGTTTCAAGTGTCCAATTCTTAATAACTAATTACAATTTATTAGGACTATCTTTCTAATCTAAAAAAGTAAATTATTTACAATAAAGTAGTTTCAAGTGGGTTGACACAGATGGGTTTGGTACCAAAATATCAACTGCGGATACCCTGACCCACCCAACTAGGATACCTTTGGCTATGTTTGGATAATTTATAAATAACGGAGCGGAACGAAACGAAATAGGATGAAGTGGAATGGAACGAAATATAACTTTCATTCCACTGTTTGAATTTTTACAACGGAGCAAAACTAATATCTCATTCCACTGTTTGGGAATTGGACGCAGCGGAAAGCATTATAATTTTTTTATTCTATTTTTATCCTTTGCTACAATATTGATAGATCCAACATTCTCACACTAAAATAATATATAAGTAATCATAGAATAATATCAACTTAACACATGAAAGAAATTAAAACATACAGTAATAAATTAAAATGTTCATAAATGAAACATGGTTATTATAACTTGAAATTGCAAAGACCAAGTGCACAAGTTTTGATCAACACCATACTGGGTATTCATAGTAATTCATAAACAAAATCAAGTTTTGGTAAAACTAAATGGTAAATATATGTCTATAGTAGATAATGATATCAAGTCTTGCTAATAAAAAAGACAAATATTGATCCATAATAGATAATGACTCTCTTCTTTAAGCATTCCATAAAACCTGCAAAAATAAAATAAAATAAAATACGCAAATATTTTATTCGTTAAAGATAAAAAAATACTCAAAAGTGATAAATAAATATGTTACCATTATCAAAAGGGATAGTCTTGAACAATGAGATGTAATGTTTCCTTCCACTTATCGATTGGAATTATATTAAAAGCTTTCAATGCATCGACATTCTTAACAAGGTACATGTATACATGAGGCAAAGAACTTGGTTCAACAAATCTAATTTCTATTTTTGTTCTTAATAAAAAGTTAATTTAACATACAAAACACTATAAAGCAACATAAATCATAATTTTAGGTTTTGTTTTTAGTAACTATACCTAATTTCTGAAAAATAAAAGAGACATGAATATGAAGATAAATCAAGATATTTAATTTAATAGAGCACATGTAACAACCTTATTCTATCCCACATATATTACGGCAAAATAACACGGATTTCAGAGTAAAATATTAACTTTCATTAAAAAGCCACAAAAGAGCGTACATTTCTCAAAGTCAACAAAATTGGTCAATACTCCGTAACACACGGGTTTTCTCAAAATATATCAAAACATCATATACAGCGGAACTCAAACATAACTCAATGTTTTCCTCATAAGGGAACATCAGTAAAATAACCCAATGATATACAATCAACTCAAAGAATCCAACCCGATGTTACATATCAGAGCAAGACCCTCTAAATTAACCATAAAGGCTAACGACTCTAAAACTTCAAAATACTCCTCGACGGCGTCCACGGCTAAACTTGCTCATCTGCACGTTACCCACGTGGAGGTAACATTCAAACAGGCAGGGTGAGTAAAACAATTCATAATAATCAATGTATAACAATTAATGCATAAACGACATATTACTCATAGTTATATTCAACACAGTGATATCCTTCAAATATGCCTCAAAGGCCACAACGTCTTAATTTATACACAAAGGCTCATAAATGCAGATGCAACATAGACTTAATGCATGTGGTACCAATCATCACAGCTCGATGGACACTGGGCCATCAACCCTCCATAGATCCCCATCAATAGGATCGAAGCACGTCAAAATACTTCACATTCACACAGTGGAATTGAAGCCAAAGTAATCGAAGTC